TCATTTCTTTATGTTTTTTTCTAAAAAAAAATTATAATAATTTTTCTAGATTTTGATTGACTTTTTTTGTTTGAACATTCGCTTAAGGATAAGCTGTGGATTTAAATTGAAGTTTGATGCCCAAGTTTCCCATTAAGTCATCCAAAAATAATTAAGAAAACACATATCACTAGAAACTCTATGATCGTCATCGATCATGACTACACTTGTTCTCCGTCGTCCTCTGCTATTATCAGATTTGCCCGATAGTCCCATTTTCAACCTCTTGGACCACCACAACCATGACCACGGCCTCCAAACTGTCCATGTCCACCCGTCTCTCTCCTTAGGTGCTCTAGAACAGATCTTGCTCAAATGGCCTACTTCCCCCAGTTGTAGCACTTGCACGTCTCCCCTTAGACACCTGACATACCTGAGCTCGAGATAGCCAAGGTTGATCGCGTGCCTGGAAGTCCACTTTACTAGAAATGTAGCCTCATCTGACTCTCCTCTTGTATCATTGTAGTGATGACCTCATCCAATTAAAGGGATCGTTGCTCGGCTAGGAGGAATGAGCTCCTCAAATCAAAGGCTAGGTTCAAATGAGCTAGAAATTGCATCGTTCTCTTCTGTGCAAATATCTCTCCATTCTTGCATCCTAGATCACCGCAGCGATATTTATGAGAAGTGATCATGTTCTTCCCACGGCCGCTCTAGATCCATGAAGTACTCCTGAATCGATTTATCACTCTGTATCATTGGCTCTATTTTACACTAAATCTGAAACACCCTCATGTGGTTCTCATTTTTAGCATAGATCTTAAGTTTCAATCTGATGTCCCTTACATTTCAAATGTCATTTACTGATGAGGCAATTAATGAAACCATCGAATTGAGTAGCCATGTATAAAGCAAGGCATGTGTGATCTTCTACTTACCCCCCTCAGCACAGTCAATCTTTGGCTCATTCCCTGTCAGATATATTTTTAGTCTCTTCCCTATTAGAGCAACATCGGCTGACGTGACCAATTCAAATACGTAGCTAGTTCATTAAATTCCAATTCCATGGGAAGGAGATCTATCTTCACCTTGGAGCTCATGTTGAGGCAGTGGCTCACGTCGAGAGACAAGCTCGTTGTATGAGCTCAACCAAGACCTTGAGAACTCCAGGTTCTATCTTCTCCAAAAGCTTCAATCTTTTACCTCTTGCACTATCTCCATCTCATGACATCCTCATTCACAAGGATCCAAGTCTAGCTCACACAAATCACACGTGAATTTGATCCTTCATTTTTGTATGTTTCGATCATGTTTGTGATCATGTCGCAACTCCCTTTTCAGATCTGCTATCACGTCGTGACCTCCCTAGTTAGCTCTAATCGTGACAGTGTCACGAGGGTTCAAGCCGTGATCCTGTCATTGTCGTCCGAGTTAGCTTTAGTAGCGGATTATTCTCGAGCATGGAGCAGAAGAATGAGGAAAATGGGTGTTCTGAGTCTCTATATGTCAATACCGACTCGTCGAATCGAGCAACACCAATGGCGACTTGGTTAGGACTCTAGTATTATAAAAAATAATTGCTTTGAAAAACTTAGTTCATTTCATTAATAATTTGAGCTTATATGGAGCCTTACAATTTTTTTACAAATAAATTCCTGGACTTCCTTTATTTACAAACAAAACCATAAATTAGATATAAATCATATTACACTTATAGAGCCAGAATGGAAAAAATCTTTTGATATGTAAATGTATCTTTTCATTAAAATATAGAGCCAGTGGAAGCCTTTGGAATTAATTATCGAGAAACATTTGATTCTATTACAAAAAAGAATAGTGTACATTTTTATTCTTCTTGCGATTAATTTTGGATGATTCATACAATAGTATGCTATGAAGAATATTTTTTTACACGGGACATTGGACATTGAAGTAGAAATTTATATAGTTATTCCACCAAGATGCAATTGCTCTTTTCCTTTGCAAAAAATTAAACTAAGAAAGGCATTTAACGCTCCCAGTCAATCCTGAAGAGCATGGTTTATCAAATTTACAAGTAATGAATGGAGATAAAACCAAAGTAAAGGAGACTATAATCTCTTCGCAAGTAGTTCGTTAATGAAAAAATTCTTATTTGCATTATATTTTATGATACAATTATTATAGAAGATTACTTTGAAAAAAAGTAATCACTAAAAAAAAAGAAATGGTTGAAGGATTTGAAATCTAAAAATTGAGCAAACTCAAATAATTTTTGGATATAGAAGTTGTTTAATTAAAACTTGAAATATTTTATCTCTTAAAAAAAATATGTTATAAACCTGCTCTTTAAAATGAAGATGACTAATTGTAAACTATTTGAAACTAGAGAACTGGGCCAATAAATTGACATAGATGAAGGAACAGAAGTGAGCAGAGGGGAATATCAAATATTAAAACTAGCATATTTATCACATAAACGCCTTTACATTTCTTTTTGCACTAAGCCTCATAAGTCAGTTTATATATAACTCTCAAGAATCTCACTTCCAAGTAACTTACAAAATTCTTAGGTATCTTAAATTAACTTCAAGAAAGGGAAATCTCTATAGAAAAATTGAATGCTTTATAACTAAGAAGTTATACCTACTATGTGAGATCAATAATAAATAGAAGATCCACTTTAGGATACCGCACATTTTTTAGAGAAAATCTTAAAACATATAGATGCATTAAACAACAATGGGAAGAGCCTATGAAGATATGTGTGACAATAAATATTCCATTTGCATTACTCATAATTTTATATAAATATGTGGAGGTGAATAGATATTTTGTAAAAGAAAATTATGAATTTGAATTGTTTTGTATATTCACCATAAGGCTCAACATTCTCGCATTCAGGAATATTTTAAGCAAATTTGGAGTGATTGATCTCTACCGTCCAGTTTAATGGGAATATTAAATGGTTATCAGAACAAGAAAATACTAGATAAGGAAAATCAAAGGCTATGGATTCATTGCTTACATGAAAATACCTCTCTCATGGTTTAATATACAATAAAATGAAAGAAAGGGAACACGAATTGTTCCCTTAGCATCAATCAACAATCCTTGAATAGATTAAAGAACATGATATCTAAGTGTAATTTATTTTTATTTTGTTTGTTATTGTAATTATTTATTTTCTTGATCTTTCAATGTAATTTTATACATAATACTCATTTAAAGAATGAATAAACTAAGCTTTCCTGGCCCCTTCTTTCTACAAAGGTTGTTGAGAGTATTAATAGTAGTTATGGTGATGATTGTGGTTTTGTGGATTGACGTGGTGGTGGCAGTTGAGGATTTTACAACAGCTTATTCTTTGTTGAATGGCAAAGTGAAGAGGATGATGTAAGGGTTGAAGGGGCCAGGGAACTCTTTTCATTCAGAGAAAATTGACCTCTGTTAATTCAAACTAATTTTCTCTCTAAGATAATGATAGAACTAAGGAACTTATTTTATGTTAAAGAGGGAAGGTAATTTGATGAGGGGGTGATAAATATAAGGCAACCTGAATAAGTTTTATGCAATGGCATTGATTATTCTTCCTTTTTTTTTTGTAGCTACTATATCGGTTAGAAAAACCTTTTTGGGGAAGAGCGCCTTTTGTTGTTTGGTCAATAAATATCATATATCTATGCATCTCCCTTCTCTTTTGTGGATCGGTAAGATTGAAGGAAAATTATGCAATTCAAGAATACCGACACCTGTTCCACATACGGACTGGTAGGATGTGGTACATAAATTCAGTAATACCCAAGTACAATTTGACGCCATACGAGCAATTGAAAAATTCACTAGGCGAGCATTCTTTCTCTGTCTCACCGTTAATAGACCTGGAGATGGTGCTAATATGAACCTTATTCCTGTATTATGTTAATTTCTTCCACTCCAAACATAATGTGGCCATTCATTCATGTAATTCATAGCTGTTGATGGGATCCTATTTTGTTTTATTTACCCAATTGCCCACATGTCAAGCAAAACAAACTGTCATGAAGGCTAGACACATAACATGCTCTCTTTTTCACTAGGTAACCAACTTATGCACGTGTTTGGAAAGTGATTCGACTGTAGATTATAACTAGTAGAAGCATTCATCTAAGGACCAAAGCTAGGAGGAAGGCTAATCAACATGAAGCTTTGTTGTAGGAGATGAATTTAATTTTTCCATGCGATCCGACTTTTGTGCCTTCGACCATTTGTGGACTTACAGTGCAATTAAAAATGTAAAAAACAATGTTATGTAAATAATTACTTCTGTGACACAATTAAATATTTAATTATGGAGTATGGCTGTTAGTAGCTTTGTAGGTTGATGGTGAAGTGTAAGAGATGAATGTTGGAATACCTTTGATTGATTTGTTTGCTAAGCAGTGGAAAGGCACTTTGTTTGTGGAAGCGATCTTCTGACTTCAAAATGAGCCAATTTTGCTAGAGTCGATTGGAAATCTGGAGTAATTGGATTGTCTTTACAGATGTCATTTGCTTATACAAGATGAAAAGAGTGGAAAGTGCCACTTCTATGATGAACAGCTCAAATAACTGAGTGGAAGTAGCTTTGTTAGCAATAACTTTAAGGTGATGTAGTCATTTTCTATTTTTGTGAAGCCAGACAGGCCCTATTGCCTGTAACCACATTGAAGAAAATTTATTGGTCATATTTACTTGTGAGGTTAGTACGGTCATATTTGATTTTCCTTGGGGTAGATTGATAGCAAGCTTTTTTGACTTTTTCAAGTGGATGATTACCGAGTTAAAGTAAATGAACTTACAGGAAGTTTAGATAACGTTGTTAGTGTCAAAGTGGATTCTCCAGTGCATTCGCATGTGACCTCTCTTGAAATTTGTAACTTTTAATATGAGTTATGGAATGTTTTTACTGCTTCTTCAGTTTTAATTACTGAGTTTGAATTTGACTTGCATGCAATTTTGTTGTTTCCATCATTATTCTGCATCTCAATTCTGCTAACCGCTGAATGTCGGATGTTATGCAGGTACTCAGTGACCTTGTTGAATCATATATTGGTGCCAGAATTCTTGACGCAGGATTCAACTTGAGAGAAGTTTGGAAAGTAATGTTGACGCTGTTCGAACCTATATTGAGCTTTAATAACCTCACCATTAATCCTGTCAGAGAACTTCGCGAGCTTTGTCAACAAAAAAACTTCTGTCTGAGGTTGCCACAGCCAGTGAAAGAAGGAGGATGCTACTTAGTGAAAGTGGAAGTTGATATTGGAGATGAGCAGTTGACCACCAGTACAACCAATCACAATTCCAAGGCTGGCAGAAGGCTGGCCGCTCAAAAAGCACTTGCCAAGTTAAAGGTAGACTGACATGAGCATTTGTTCTGAGTTTTGTGCAACTTATCTTCTATGAATTAACAGTGTGGATTGACTTTGTTTTTTAATTTCTTTCTTGTATGATCTTGTAGGATCTTGGTTACAAACACAAACACAAGTCATTAGAGGAGGTTTTGAGGTCAACTCGTAAAAAGGATCCAGAACTGATAGGATACAATGAAGATCCCTTGGACACGACGAATTTAGATGGCTATATGATTCCAGTGGGGAAATTAGTAATCCAGGAAACAAACACGACTTCAATAGGGTTGGGCGACCAAAATGCAGAAGCTTTGTTGCCGTACGAGAGTGTTCTTAAGGTGCAACCCTCTCTTTCAGATACAAGCCCTCCAGCAAAGAATGGCGAAACTCGACAGCATGAGAAAGATTTTTTGCAATGTTTCGATAGTAATAAAGTAACAGAAAGTAGTGTTCAGGAGAATCGTGATGGTATGCGGATATAATGTTCAGAATGGCTGCTCCTTTATTTTACCTCGAGACAATCTGGTTGCTTGTCAACGATTTATAAAACTGGCAATTTTTATTAATCTTACCCTTTCTACTTATCTTTGTAGATGTTGACCGTAAGAAATCAGCCAAGTCACGATTATTAGAAATCTGTGCTACATACTATTGGAGCCCCCCTTTGTTCAAATGCTGCAAGGAGGAAGGACCATGCCACCTAAAAATGTAACAGTACAACACTGAAACTTTTTCTATCAAGCGAAATGACAGTAATATTCATTCAGCAGTGCAGCAAAACGAAAAAAATCAAAACTATGATTTTAAAAGCACGATTAAAAAAGATTGTGTAACTTTTAGGTTCAAAAAATTTCTCTTTTTCCTTGGACGCTGACTCTGAATTTCAAAACAGGTTCACCTTCAAGGTTACCATTCAAATCGAGGGAGCCGCTTGTACAGTTTTGGAGTGTTACAGCGAATCAAGGCCACGGAAGAGAGCTGCGGAAGAGCAAGCTGCTGAAGGAGCATTATGGTACCTTGAACAGCTAGGGTATATTCCTAAAACCTAATGGAATCGAAACCATTTCAAGATTTCTTTTTTTTTTATATGGAAACCTTGAAGTATCTGGCAAAATTACTTTGGGACTGAAAAGACTCAGCCTCATTCAAAATGCAAGCAGTGTCTCGAGTCCATGGTTGCTTGAAAATGAAGTTTTTGTTTGTAATTTTGTAGATCTGTTCAGCTTGGTCTGAAGTTTTGGTTGTGAAGTTTGATTCATGGATGGCCTCCTCGGCTCAAGTAATCAGCTTGACAACTGGATGCTTCTTTGTATTTCCCTTGGCTATTTATGAGGTCTAAAGCCCTCGTCATAACTCAAAACATTAGTTTATTTTTGCTTTTGTTGAATCAAATTAAATCAAAGGGGACCTTAGTGCGATTCAATTCAAATTTAAGATGAATCAAATAATAATTATTTTTAGCTATGAATCTATTATTATTAGTTTAAAAAATAATATTAAAAATATTAAATACTTTTTTAATTAGTTTTGTAATTTTGATTTGTGGCATAAATAAGCTTTGTTAATTTTTTTCATTTATTTGTTTATATGACTTCATTATTTTTAAAAAAAAAATTAATTGAATCAGATTGAAGTAAACCTTAATGCCATTCACCTCAATATTTGACTGCTCAATTTATAATTTTTTTTTTAACAATGAATCTGGTTTAATGAGTATATAAATAACAACTTAAAAATGATAAATTGATTTTTGTATAAAGTAATAAGTTGCATCCATTTGTATATTATGTATTTAATTATTTGACTATATAATATTTAAAAATAATAACATAATATAACTATTTGTTTGATCATTTATACAATTGAGAAAAAAATTCAAACTAACAATTAAAATATACACATAGGAAAAATTATATTAAATATTCAGATTTAGTTTTAAGCTTCTAATCGATGTATCAATGTATGGTTTTTAGCATATCAAAAAATGAATGTCATAATATGATTTTTAATGCTTCTTATGACCTAAGCATGGGCTAAGGAGGATGGGACCTTGTTTATCAATAAAAGCATGGGTTTTTCCGGGAAAACAACGAGAAACTACATGACCGAGGTCATAGAAGTATGAACCTTTCATGTCTGAAAAATTTCACAAAGCTCTAGTTTTTTTTTTTCTTTCAGTTTTAGGATTTCGAGCTTTCCATTCCTTTAAATGAACTTATGAACTAGAGTTATCAATTTAATAAACTTGAATTTCACCTATTAGAAATATCGTGGCACTTTCTTCGTAGGATTGATACGCATACTCTAAATTTGCATATAACTTGATATGTGTACTTGTGTGAGTAATCAAATTGCCTTATAATAGTGTCAGCCATCAAGTGTCTCAATAAAACAAATCTAAATGTTATGCATCTGAATATAAAAATTTAGGAAAATCAACATACATTCTGCACAATTCCTACATATTTTGGCATGTAACACCTAAAGTTTGATGTTTATATTTATAATATTTTAAAACTAAAATTTATGCATGAATATGTACATTTCTTAAAAAAAAAAAAAAAAAAAAAAAAAAAAAAGTTTGTCTTGGTCTTATCTTCTATGCAAAGTCAATGATTTTATGTCGGTAAACGCCCCCAAGGTTTATGTATTAGGTATGTGAAGTTTTGTGTTATGTATCTTAACCGGTTCTTTCTTTTCTTTTCTTTTCTTTTTCTATTTTAAAAAGCATTTCGTTTCCAGCCGGCGCAAGCAGTGACGGACAGAAGCTCTATTCTGACGAACTTCATACATTAAAATTCATTTTTTTAAAAAAAAGTGACGTTAGAAGTTGAAATTTGAAAGAGTAAATAAAGCAAATTTACTTGTGTTTTCTGAACATTTTATTAGGAGAAAAATTCTAGGTTTGGTTTGATCCTTTCCTCTGAAAACATCAAGATTAAATAATTAGGATATATTTCAATCCTCTTGCATTGGGGTTTATGCCATTGATATTTAATTACTTGGTCAACAAGAACAATTCTAGGATAAGAAACAAAGGCTATTTTCTTATATCTTTGCTATAAATATGCCTCAAGTGGATCATTTAATAGTTATTTCATTTATTTCCATAAATTTATAATTTTAAAAAAAAAGAACATTGTTTAAACTGCATTATGCATCATATAATAGAAAAAATAAGAACTATCATGCTCTTCTAACAAAATCTTTATTTTAATCTATTTGAACTTTATTCTATTTATTTTGAATGAGTATAATACAAGGTTTAATTGATTATTGATATAATATGCTAATATTAAAATATATTTAATCATTTTAAAATTCATATATAATATAATTTTGATTGAAATATTTTGATCAATTTTATCTCCCATAATTTATTCCCTCTTGTGTGCATGCAAAATTTTTTTAATAATTGTGGATGCACTTCTACTTCAATGTAGAAATAAAAAACAGTATTACAACAAAATTTTACTAGTACAAAAAAAAATTAGAATTAGTACAAAAACGATTTTAATAAAAAAAAAAAAGAAATATTTGGTGTCAGGGTTGCCATATAACACCCCTCAAATTAAGAATGATTTATTTAATGGTAGTTTGGTTAAGAGAAAACGCGACATTCATGTTGTAAGAAAATACTCATGAAGCTCGAATTTATATGCCTAACTTGTCAAGAAACAAGTGAAGCTTATATTTATATTGTGAAGAAGAGAATAGAAGAAATAATGAGTTGAATAGGACCAAATCCAAGGGACAATTCACCCTTATAAAGTCAACAATTTATATGGAAAAAAGAGTTGCTGGAGAATAAAAATGCTCTAGAAAGTTGGCCCAACACTAAACTTAATGAACTCACTAATGTTCTCCACCAAGATTTTTAATATTTGAAAACCATTTCAAACAGCAATTTCTTGGTGACTTCAAACTATTATTAATTGTGTTGCCAGCTAGTTTTTCTACAATAACTTATTTAAAGTGTTGTGTTTTTTTCAGCGTTATTTTTTCAAATATTTTTTTATCTTGTGATTAGAGCTAGGGGAAGTGTTGACTTCAAAAAATAATAATTGCATATATTTTTATAATAGAAAGCAGAAAGTGTTTACAATATGGGGAAATTCCATGAATAAAGTTACAAATCAACTTTTCAGGTCAATCATCTAGTTTGACCAATTCGCTTAGCATTATGAGCCAACCAATTTATTGAGACAAGTCTTTGAGGCAATTCAAAAAAACAAATTCAATTGTCATCTGCAACAAAACTTACAATGAGTTAGCCCTGGCAAGTCATATCAACTTCAACAACATGTCCATGACAAGGGACAAATAAGTTGTGAAAGCCTAAAGTCATATATTTAACTATTTTGATATGTATTTTTATTTTGTGCTTCTTATGATACTCCTTCTATTTCTTGTATAGTGTTATATATAGCATACTTGGGGTTACCCAATCTATAAATAGAAGTCGCCATCACAAAGTAGACAAAGATTTTTGGAGAACTTTCAGGATACTTTTTAGTGAAATTTAAGAAATTCTAGGTGATTGATTCCTAGGGATTCTATACAAAGCTCTATATAACCACTCTTTAATAGTAATAAAATATTGGTGATTTTCTCTCTTCCTATTGATTTTATTTCCCTTTTATGGTTATTTAGTTCTTACACTGATCTTTTATAAGTAGTACATCTATAAACTTTGTGGGTTCCAACATTCTCAAAGGTACGATAGATAAGTAGTTATTCACCAAATTCAACCAAGCCATGGAGATCATTCTGCTAATAAAAAATGCACAAGAGAGTTTTTTTGGCACAAAAAAGAACAATGAATTAAATTAGCAAATGATGGTGATGATCACGGAAGTCATAGAGCGTGATCTGAGGCACTACATGCCTAGTTACAAATTTATTCCTTAGAATTAGCGGTAAATAGAAGAAGAGACCCAATATCCATGACATAAAAATTCTACCAGCTTCTCCAATAAAGAAAGGTAAGATATGCTACCCCAACACCATTGACTCCTCTCCTTTTGATTATGAAAGAGAGAGAAAGGAGGCAAAATATTACTTATAGGAGACGCCTACTAGAGAATACATTAAATAGGAAGATAGTCATGGTGGGGGCATAAAAAAATTTTAAATATTTAGCCCTAAAATATTACAAATGGAGGTCTAATCTTGTTGATCATATATAGCATCATTCAACTTAGGGGTATGGTTACTACAAATTAATGAGAGACATAAGTGGTATATAGTCCTCACGACTCTCAAAGATTCTACTCTTTATTGATTTAACAACTTCTAGTTCCTAGAAGTCATAAAAGATTTTGCAAGCATCATTAATGAAATTGTTAGAATGTAAGAGAATAATTAAGGAGTTTTATAACTCACTTCTAATAGAAAATGTTGGAGGTCAAAGATCTAGAACAAGTAGTCACTCGTGATGCATTAAATCAGAGCATGAGATAAAGTATGTTCTATTAATATCTTAGGTTATAATGCTAGAGAATAATAGCCAAATTTTTTGAGGTTGCTAATGATCATATCTTTGCGAAAGAGTGCAACTTGCTACCCAGCACCTCAATTTTGAATCAACTAGAGTAGCATCCATGAAAGTAGAGTTTTCATTTTTTTAATTAGGAGGTTTTTGGTTGCCTTGCATAATGTGGGGTGAGGAGAAACATTGAGAAGCTCCAACTTCATCCATTTTAGAGGGAAACTAGTTTTGAAGAAACATTATTTGATCATCATGCTAAAAGGAGGTCACCACCACCCACCTATCATCCACGAGCTACAACTCCAATGAGCGTATTGATAATTTAAATTTGAAGCCATCTAAAATAAAAAGTATTTCTATAGACTTGCAGATATAAAAGCTGAAGGTTAATTGCATAACCCAAGTAAATATATTGTGTAACACAAAGAATCTGGATATAAAGAGATATAAACATTTAAAAATAATGATTGAAGGAATGATCAAATCAGAAAAGCTAAATGAATTCATCACTCATGAGGAAAACAAAATAATAAAAGGAAATACACCGCCAAAGAAGGTCACAATGAACCAAATCTACCAGAAGCTATCCACATATTAAGTGCAGTCCCAATCATTCTTGGAGTGTATGGCCTAAAAGCTATTCAGTAATTGTGCCTTACATGACTATGGTTGGTTTAGGAGAACTTGACAAGTTCTTCTAACCTATCGATAGCTAGTTATCCTCCCATCATCTTAACAGACAATGATCTTATTGTAAAATGAAGCATGCATAATAAGATAATTTAGGTCATAATGTTAATCATATATTATCAAATTGGTAGCATTCTT